TCCATTACCAAATCTTCCCCACTCCTGATCTAAGGGTGCATCTACACTATTTTACTTCTATGCAGTTTGAGACTACTCCACGTTCTGTATTTCCATCCTATGCAATCCTGGGATCTGTAATTTTACAAGATCTTTAATCTTCTCTGCTTAAAAATGCTGGTGTCTCACCAAACTACCGATCCCATGATTCTGTAGGATGGAGCCATGGCATTTAAAGTTATGTCAAATAGAATTATTTCTACAGTGGAGATGCATCTTGTACCAGGGAGTGCATACTTGCCCATTGTACTTCTTTGTAGGGCTTTCAGATGGATGGAGCTTCTGAATAGCTCCTTGTACAATGGTTATAAAAGAGCATATGGGCATAGAACCTCAGGTCACACATGCATATGTCACCTACAGGATTCCAGACATAGGTGGGGGGTTTTCTCCACTGGCATAGGGTAGAATAGCTGTCCCATATTTAAGAATTTCTTTTCCAGTTCCCAGCAATTGGAAGCTATATTTCCTGCAGTGTGAATGTAAAACAGAGCAACAATTAGAAGTGGGGTAGATCTTTGGTTTTGCAAAAGAATGGTGCCATTAACTGATCTCTGAGGGGTTGTTTGGGATCTGAGTCCATTTGTGGGAGATATAGGCCATAAAATCTCCTGAGGAATGTGTGGCAAATATCAAATTACATTCATGGTTGTTTTGTGGTTAAAGCTATCTATATACTCTGTTTATGGTCCTAGCCATTCACTAGGCAGAATCTGTGTGATCTGGTGACCACTTTCAGTGTTATATTAGACAACTCCCAGTCTATAAATCCAACCACAAATCAAACAGAGCTGTTAACCATGGCTCAGATTCTATTACGAGAGCCCAAACAAAGGATGCAAGAAAAGCTACTTGCTCTTCATTAGAAGTATTTAGTTCAAAGTTGGACAGTCATCTATCTGGAATACCATCTTGGAAACTGCAGTCAAGGAGTTGTTTAGACTGAAGCCCTATTCAGTCATTCACAAAGCGCATTGAATCAAAATACAAAGAGGGAAACACAGTTGGCCTGCCTCTTCTGCCATCATTTCCATCACCCTTGCATGTAGAGATGAACAGGTCTGAACTAGAAAACATTGGCTAGCCATGTAAGATCATCACATAGGCAGGAGGAAGAAGAAGTTGGAGAAGGAAGGGCCAAAGCTATTATGTTTGCTTGAACAACAAAGTACAGCTTGGATGAACAACAAAAAATAAAACATTGGCTAACCATGTAAGATCACCACATAGACAGGAGGAAAAAGAAGTTGGAGAAGGAAGGGCCAAAGCTATTGTGTTTGCTTGAACAACAGAGTAGAGCTTGGATGAACAACAAAAAAGGTTTGGGTGCATAACTGAACAGGGCTTGAATGAACTTTGAAGGTCCAATTCTATGACTGCTGTTTTAACTTTAGTTCAGGGGTGTCACTAGGGGGTTCAGGAGGTGCAGATCGCACTGGGTGATCTGGTGTGCTGGTGGGAAGGGGCTTCCTTTCAGGTCTGGCAGCTCTGTTGGCCAGAGAGGAAAGCAACTCTTCTCCTTCTCTCACTCACCCAGCAACTCCGTTGGACCTGGAAAAGGTTGCAAGGCAGCAGAAGCAGCCCACCCCTACCAGAGCCACTTGGTGGGACTCAGCTGCCTTCTGGGTCAAGCAGCTCTGCTGGCCAGGCATTAAATAGAGTCACCTCACTTTGACACTCACCCCGCAGCTCCACCAGACCTGGAAAAGGGATCGCAGGAGAAGCCCACCCCCAACAGAGGCCATTGAGCTGCCTTCTGGGTCTGGC